TACACCCACACTTTCAATACCCTGCAGCTTTGATTATGCCATCTCAGAAAGACCGTAGTAGAAGACAGATAATTGCAGAAAGATGAACAGATAGAACACAAACACCATAGAAGCCACAAAATCATGAATAGTGCACAGATAGCAAAAAAGTAACAATAAAGTTACTGTTCCTAAAAATAAAAGAAATGAAAGGGTCAAAATGGAACTATCAGGTAAGGAGATTTAAGACAAAAAATGTTTAGTTGGTTGGTTTTTTAAAATTCACTGTCAAGGGGCATTTTAGAGGCCAAGAGTACAGATTAATCAGAAATAAGATAAATTTATGGAGGGTAGTGTACACTGTGGACCATATTCAACTACTAGCTAAATCCCTAAAACAGATTGATAGATGCTGAGTAAATTAACTCAAAGCAAAATCACTCCATGCAAGTCTCATGCTTACGCTCTTCTCTTTGTGTTTACAACTGCTTATAATCTAAGAGAAGATTACAGGTAGGATGGACCTTTGATTTGACTTGTAATAGCACCTTACATTTTTGAGTTACCAGTAACATAAAACAGAATAAGGTTCAAACATTACCTCTGAGTTGGACTGAATCTCAAATCTCCTAGTTGTATTGCCTGCTGATCACAACTAGTTCTTACAAGTCTCATACATTCTGCTGGGCTTCTGGCAGTATGGATGCTCACCTGTTAAAAGACTGAATTTTATTCTTCCATGGAGGTTCAAGGGATCTTCTTGGAGAATAAAAACAAAGCATATATGAGAGTAGAGGAGACCTCTGTCTCTTTCATATTCTACTATAAACCATAGCAAAATCAGGATCACCAACTGTTGAGCTTTTCACTGAATTTCATACAGGTCAGGTTATTTTGGGGTCCTAGTTAAAGTCATGTAATAGATGGCTCGCTCATCGTCCAGATAATAACCTCCTGTTTTGGCACACACTGCCATAAAGAGAGAATTTAAGGAATCAATTCATATCACTCCCTACATTTGAGATCCATTTCCTTTTGAAAAAAGTAAAAGAACTGAGGCAGTACACCTTTGGCAATGACACTCAGTATGGTAAGGGGAAAGTCGAACAGCTCTTTGGAGCGTTCCAAGTGAATAGCATAGGGGAAGTGTGCATGCCAAGCACCAGTATTTGTTATTCAGTAGGAAGATGTTACTCTTGGGCCTCCTGCTGACAGATGCATATCTGGATATCTGTCATTTCTAGGTGACTTGGTGGAGGAAATATGAAGCAAAACTGAAAAGCTGTGTGCTATAGGACTGTTTCAAAATTGTCAAATTTATAATGGCAAAACACTGGGAAATGGAGTATTACGCCCTCTTCGTTACAATCATAAAAGTCTAGTTGCAATGGCAATGGATTACTAGAATAAGAATTTCTCCTCAGTTGGACTAAATAGCAAAGCATCTGATACTCAGACTGAAATGAACAGCTTCTACAAGTAAGCACATATAACGCTGATATTTAAAAGGAAGTAAATACATATTTATTTCCAAGAATCTCACAGTAACATTTGACATACTGACACATTAAAACACTTCATAAAGTAAAGCATTAGCTCATACAATATTACCAAATTTTGATTTTAATGGACTCTTCATTCCCACCATTTCATTGTCAAAACTTTTGTTGTTGTTTGAAAATACAGAAGGTTATCACCAAAAGCCACCCAGATTTTCTCATCCTTCATAGATATTGCAGCTTGGGAAGGACATCAGCGGAGAAAGAAATGGGGTTTAACAGGGTGTGAAAACCCTTAGTTCCATTTGGATATTGCCAACTACTTATTTAGTGATGGGAATGGAGCATGCACAGGCCAAAAATTGAAGGGGCAGTAGACAGAGGAGCACCTTGTCTTCCATCTTAACAGTGAAAAGAGCCACCTAGAAAATGCTTTTCCTCAGGCTAAGACACAGATTTTTCATTTTGGGGGACTATTCTGGAAACCCAGACTGTTCTGCGAGCTTTGCATTTATTTATTATGAGACCACGGAGCAGTAATAGACAGATTACAATCTTCTGGCTAACATACAAAAACACATATAAATATTACCACTAGAAAATACATCACTGACTCATCTCTACAGATGACAAGTATAAAGCCAATAAATATCACACTTTTAAAGTATATATTACTTGCTGCCCTATAGATGATAAGTACGGCTGCATGTGGTAAAGGCCTTTTTTTTTTTTTTTTTTTTAAACACAGGAATCTTACTAAGAACTACTTAAAGTTTGAAACCCCTTGCTACTTACTAGACATATCAGAAAATACACATATATTTCCAAGGCAGACTTTGATATCTTCCCCTACATTCTTCCTTCCTTCAGATCTCAAATTTCTCAATGTTTGAATCTACAAACCTCTACAATATGCGCAAAGTCACATTGGTGATACAGGCTAAGTATCCCAATATGTTATACATGTGTGTATTTATATTATAAATATGATATACAAACTTAGTATTGCATCTAGAATGTATAATTTAACACTTAAAGCTACATTAACATCAATTTGCACCAGCAAGTTTTTTCTCTGTCTCTGAATTACCACTTTTAGCTTCTCTTCACGTTCTCCTGTCTCGTCTCTCATGCTGTCAAGGGATGGAGTTCCTCTGTTAAACTCAGTCCTGCAAAATCTGAAGTATGGAAATAAATCCATTAAGTTTAAAATCAGACTCCTGACATACCTAATATTCACTACTTGTGTATGGTCTTTCTGGAACTTGGGATTTAACTGCTTAAACTTAGTTAACAGGAGCTGTCCAAAATGAGCCTAGTTCTGACTGATAACAGGCAACCACAGACTGAAGATTGAAAGGCCATAAGCATTTTAGTAAAAATTCAGAGAAGTCTACTTAATTAAAAATCTCCTCCTCTTTATTGCACATGCACCTGAAAACAGTCTCCTCTCTCTGCAAAGACAGAAATATGCAATGCTCTAAGGACAAACTGTTAATGATGCAGCACAAGTACTATTCCAAGTCATTTCTCCTCATATGTGATTGCAGTCTAGGAAACGACAAATTCAGAACAGCCTGCATGCTAAAAATGACATTTCTGAATGGAGGGAAAAAAAACCCATATACATATATATATATATAGAGAGAGAGAGAGAGAAAATCTCCAGGGCCATGAATAAATGCCCCCTCGCTGGGCGAGCTCATGCCTGGCTGTCTTGCCCCACCTCCCCTTCCCCACCATCCTCGTGCTCTCCATGCAGGTCCCAGCCCTGCTGCCTGCCTCTCCCTCCAGCCCCACCACTCACCTTCCTCCTGCACTCCTGTGTGCCTGGGTGTCCGTCCGTGGACTGGGAGCAGGCGTTTGCCTGCCACTCCTTGTCCATCTCCGGGATCCACTCGTGAGGACTTGCTACTCTGGCACCAAGGGGGAGCTGCTCCCTCCTGGTCGAGCTGCTCTCCTCAGAGTGGGGACCCCTGGGGGCTCTGGTCCCAGTAGGGACACGGTCACCATGGGGACCGCCTCATCACAATGGCCTTGTGGGCATGATGCCACCTCCATCACAAAGCCCTGGTGGTCGCCGTGGGGACCCCATCACAGTGCCTTGGTGGTCGCCATGGGGACCCCCATCACAGTGTCATGGCAGTCCCCTTGGAGACACACAGCACCATGCTATTGCCTCCATGCCTCTGGCCTCAGCTTTTGAACCTGGCTGAGAGCTGGTGTCCAGGGAGCAGGAAGAGTTTTCTTCTGCTCAGCTCTGAGCTTGCAGAGGCTGCCCCTCTTCAGGCACTCCATAGTACACATCCACTACAAGGCCACTCTTCTTGGTCTGCCTGCTAATCCTCACTCATAGCTCTCGACAGGCCCATCGTCCATCCCTAGGCAGAGCTCCATGCATTCCCACTGCTCTCTCTCTGGGGTTTCTCTTGTCCACATCACCCTGCACCTTTTCCTTGCCAGCCCAGGCCAGCACTTCCTCCCTCTTTTTTGACTCACCCTCTCCCCACAGTTGCTCCCACTTTAAGGCTTCCCTCACCAGCTTGGATGCCTGGTCAGCCATCAGGTCAGCAGATGGGAACACTCCCCTTCCAAATGAAGTGAGACAACCAGTGCCAGTGGAGATGGAGAATGGTCTCTGAAATGTCTGCTGAGGGCTGTCTCTCAGGTGACAGTGCTGATGACAGATGCCCATCCTGCTGGAGGGGAATCTGAGCCCTCAGGAGAGCTCAGAGATCTCAAGGCATAGTGTGTGCCTGGGGATGGACAGTGAGTGGAGTCTCACAAAGTAGAGACAGTCCATGGTGGAGTAACCAGAAGGTAAAGCACTAAATCCAGGTCTGCACAGGGAAATGAGGGCTCTGCAATCCCTGGAGAGGCAGTAGGGACCCAGGAAGCCCAGGGAAGGGGAACTGGAGAGTGATTCATGCACCCTCAGGCAAAAACCACAGGCTGGAGCTAGTGCACACCCAGACACATCTCCTGCCATTGCAAACAGCCTGGTGCCATTCTGAGCACCATCCAAGAGCACAGAGATGTGCCAGCAGTGTCATGAGTGTTTAGCCCTGTCTGGTGGGGTCTGCTTCCTGCCCCAAGCAGCATGGCCAGTGTGAAGTCAGGAGTCACCTCGTGGCCTTGTGGCCCCACAGTTTGTTCGCTCTGCAGAGCAGCAATGCCAGCCCAGGCCCTGCAGGGAGCACAGGGGAGGGGTGCAGGAACATCCAGCCAGGCCAGCACGGACACACTCACCTGGGGAAAAGCTCTCTGGGGAGCAGCAACCTCCCTAGAGAAAAGCAGGGCAGCATTCAGGTAGAAAAAGAGAAGAAGAAACAGGTTTCTCTGGGCACCAGCTCAGGTTAGGTTGCTCTGTTCCTGGGTCAGCAGGAGCTGTGGAGGGGCTGCAGGGCCAGGGCTGTTGTGCTGTGCTGGGGAGCAGGGTGGGCATGGAGGGGCTGCAGGCAGACAGGGAGGGGGATCTCCTGGGCACAAGAGCAGGGCAGACAGAAAGTGACCAGTGTATTGTGGGGCCTCCTCCCCCTTGCTGGGGAGCTGCTGCCCCTGTCCTTGGGCCTGGCCTGAGTTATGTCATGGACATGCCTGTGCCCGGTCCTGACCCTCGGGTGCTGACCTGACCCTGTCCCCGGCCTCCTGACCTGACTCCCCATCTCTGCCTTGGACCTGCCCCCTCACTACAGTCAAGAAAGCCTTGGCAAGGGAAGCTGGGATGCAAGCAGAAGCAGCTTGTAGGTCCCCAAGATGACCATATATGCAAAACAGCAACCCTTGCCTGACAGCCAATTGAAAGGTATATATATATACACACACACACATACACCACTGTTCTTCATCCAGTGTTTCAGTATTATGTTTTTATCCTAAAAAGAACCTATTTACTAATGCTTAAAATGCTCTTTTCTAGGAAAAGGAAACAGGATGAAATAAAAAAAAAAAATCTTCTCTTAAATAAACTATCCGAACATGCTCCCTACCTCCTCTCAGGGATGAATATACAGAAGTGCATCAATAGAAAGAAAAGACATCAGATACCAGAAAATTCTCTTTTCAAAATCCTATCTTTGTAGGTGAAGCAAATTTTGAGGCTGGTGTTTCTAGTATAATGGAAAACATCAAGGAATACTATTTTCAAAAGTGCGAAGCTTATATTTAAGCAGACTGTCCTTGCAGTGGAGCTAACAAGCCTGTTGCCACTTCTTGGAGCTCTCTCTAAAGGAGAGCATTATTGCCTTTCAGCCTTTTAACTTTCTTCTCTTTCTAACTTTCTTCTTTTTCTAGCTCCATAAGAAGTAAATTGAGATTTGCAGTGGACTGATAAAGTTTTTTTTTTTTTTTAAATGCACTGGCCAAAGCTTCTATAGAGATATTTTCCTTCGTGATACATTCACACCTCTCCTTCCTGTGGTCTGTCAGTCTAGATTTCACAAGAGAACTGTCCAGTGGTGAGAAGCAGCTTCTGGTACACACAACACTTGATGCAAGCAAAGTGAAGTGAATGCCTGAAGGTCCTCCTCTGAGTATCAGATTTGCTTCTCTGAAGGCAGTGACTGGAATCTAATACACAGATGGCACTCAACTTCTACACAAGAAGTGTACGCTCCTGAAGAGCCAAGGCTAGAACACTATCAGTCAGTCTACACACCAAACTCTACTTTAAATCTTCCAACATAGAAACTGCGTGTAGGAAACCAATGCATCTAGAACAAGGGACACACGAAAGGGCCAGTGCATCATGATGCCACGCTGGCCACTGTCATAAAAGATCTGTTATGTATTTCAAACAGGGGTGGCCACTGAGAGCAATTCAGTGGGGCCCCTGGGGCTGTTCACTTTGAATAGGGGACAAAAAAAATTGGCAGATAACTTTGTCCCAGCACGTCAGGGCTGAGCCTTCCTGTTGGATATTTTAACGTCAGATAAAGGCTGAATTCCAACGGAATTTGTAGCAATCCTTGTGACCTGCATACAGAATGCTTCTCCCCAGTTACAAGACAAGCTGTGGAAGCAATAGAGACATTTGCTTCTGAAGATCTAGAGCAAGAGCTTTGTTCTCCTCCTTAGAAGTTCTGTAGTTCATCTGGATCCACAGTACATAAAATGATCCAGCTGCGGTATTTTTGTCCAAACTCCAGAAGCAGCAGCTACTTCTTGGGTTTTTCTAGGATGTTGAGGAATTTCCCTCGAGTCATTTCTCTAGCTGAAATCACAAGTGGGAACAATAGATTAACATTAAAAGAAAAAGCCAAAAAGAAATGCATCATTTGCAGTATTTAAACAGGGGATAAGAAGTTTATTTAGATTTGTACTTAGAGTAATAGTAAATATTAAAACAAACAAACAAGTAAATAAATCTGCATTCCAGCTTCAATTCCTGACAATCTAGGAATGCAGGCAAGACCCAGAATCTCCTGAATTTAGCAATAATTCCCACAGGCTGTCTCATTACACACAATCTACGCTTTCTATTCCTACTGCATTATGCTCTTGCAGCATCTCCTTTTCTGTCTTTGTACTATCCATCTCTGAAGGGTGTAATCCAGATCACCATCACTCTGTCTCAGAGCAATTGTTCCTGGATGTTATAATCCGTCAGAGATTATGGAACTCTGTCTTTCTCCATTTCAGGATTATTGGTCCCTGGATGCTATGATCTTCAGCAGAAATTAGACAGCATTTTCTCTCTCTCAGCAGTGTCAGTCCCTGGATACTGTAATATAATGGTGTTTATATTCCCTCAGTGCAGTTCATCTATGGATGGTGTAATAAAGTAAAGTTTATAGAGCTTTGGTCTTCTCTCTCTCTCCACACTGACAGTCCTTCGATGTTTAATACAGCAAGGCAAGGTTTATAAGTCTCTCTCTCACTCTTGGCACCATCAATCTCTGGTAGCTGTATTACAACAGGGTTTACACAGCCACTTTTCTGCACAAGATATTTCTGACTTGTGAGTCCATAAGCTCACAAGCTGGCAGAGCAGCCCTAATACTACCTTTGTCTCACAATAACAACACAATGCATCAAAGACAGCATGATTAGTGATCGAGTCCCGGAGAGAGGCAATTTTCCCACCGGTGTTTCTCTGCATTTCTTTTAAATAAAGGTGCGAGTTTTGTGCTGGACTGTCAGATGACAAAACATGGAGGCTTTTATTTATAGGACTGATGCAAGCTTGCATGCTTCCTACACCCAACCTAGAGAGACTCTGCAAGAAGGAGACAAGAGTTCATCTTCTGTTTTGTCATTCAATTCCTGACCTTTCTTCTCAGAGGAACAACAGAAATTACAATTAGCATAAAAACTACAGGTAGGTTTGATGTTAGGTTTTCTTTTGACATTACTGGGTATCTAGTTAGAACAGAACTGAAACGTAATAAAAGTGTTCTGCTTAAAATACTCCATACTTACCCTCTGGTAAAGACATTTTGTTACTCTTGACATGACTGATTAGAATTTGTGCCTTACAGCCTCACGTTCTTTAAGTTATTACATCTAACTTGTCTACCCACAATTGAACCATGAGGCATTGGGATCAACAAGGTCCCTGTAAAGTAATAATTATTATAATAAACTCTTCAGTATGTATTGATATTCGTAGATTTCAAAGTCCATAGTCCACTGCAGTGAGTGGAACATACCCTACTGTCAGTTACCGCTTCTGGCTGGCTGCAGATTCAAGCACATCACTGCATTGTTCACTTGGTTCATGTCTCCAGTTACGAGTTGCATTATCTGGGATTCATTCCCAACTTTGCTTCTGGTTCACAGTGTGAACAACCAGGAAAGTCATCTACTTATTTGTACCTCTACTCCCCGACCTGCAAGGCAACTTACATCTTTAAGCACTGCTAACGTGACACACGGGTAGAAGGTGCTGCAGAAGGGCAGAGAGAGGACTGTTATGTTGTCGGGGACTAAACTGTTACGCACGAATAACAAGATTAAATAAAAATGCAAGTTTCTAGAAATTTGAGTTAGAAATAGGTTTCTCAGTCAGCTCCTTGACATCCCCCTGCCTTTCACCATCAACAGTGCATGGTTTTAAAATGCTGCTATGGAGAAAGTGCAAAGTCGAACTACAGCTGATAGAATGGAAAGTTTTCCTGAGTGCTAGTCCCATAGAGGAGATATACGAACGCATGACAATTCTGTTCCCCCGAAGAGGGCTGCACCCTATAAATCAGGCAGAGAGCATAGACTCCTTCTGTGCACTGAGTGAAATTACTGTGGGTTGGGGGTTGCTCCAGAGCACGTGCCCTCCTGTTCACTTGTCATCAGAGATGTTAACATTTCTGATTAATTCACAGACCTCTCATTTTATTCTTCATTCCTTTATCCTTGCTATCCTGTTCTGCTGCAGCTTAAAGATTCTTACCGACCTGCTACAATAATCACCACCCGCTTCCCCCCCCCCAACCTGGTGAAATTGTTTAGTGATGCCAACCGCGCTTTTAATTTGCAAGACATCAGACACAGAGGTAATTTATACCAACATCTGTTCATTTCTGACTTCTGAAACAAACTCGCACATGCTGCTACAAAATCCCATTAGGAGCAGGAGACAGCCTTCTGCTATTCTGTATTCCTCTTCTCCTCACATACTCAGTCTTGCAACAGGGCTTTATTTTTAAAGATATGATGCCAAACTGAAGGAGCGAGCCTTACATCTTTGTATGCATATGAAAATGGCCAGAAAATACATCCTCATGCCCCAGACAAATCCCAGCCAAACTAAGAGGAAGTTTGCACAAACATTTGCAATCTTTTCCCTGCTTCAGCTGCTTCTCTGATCTGCCCAAGAATCACAGTTAAATGCATTCCTGGTAAACACAGGCCAGATACATGTTATATGATACTGCTTTGAAACATCTTGCTATTTCCTACCCTTTGTTCCTCTTGAATCTGCAGCGTATGTCTTGAGCTTGGGTTTTGCACAGAAAAGCCTCTAATATTAAACCAACTCCTCCGCTCAGTACTGCTTCTGCTAAATGATATCTTAATAATGGGAATATCATTTCCACTTGGGCCTTTTGGAGCTTGCTGGAGTGAGGTACATGCTTTTGAATGAAGAAAGCATCACCCACATTCTAAATATGACTGCAGTCTCAGAGAGCTGGTAAAACCTGTCTTAAGCAACTACCCAAGGGACCAGCAGAAGCCAGTAGCGTAGCAGATAGAGGTAGATTTTTTTTTTTTTTTAATTAAAAGGTTGGACAAAACTGTACTGAAAACCTTTGGGATTTTTTTTAAAGGGCTGCTTAAACCAGGGACTTGTCTGGTGAAGACAGGGCTTGAGCACAGGTTTCTTTGTACCAGCAAACAGGCACTACAGAGGCTGTGCAGCATGAAACAGAAACATGAATCTCCATGTAAAGTCACGATTTACAACCTTTCCTATGCTGTGCATCTACTACAATAGAAAATCAACAATGGATACGATCGCAATAGCCTGGTTACAAATTAATCTCACCTAGTAGGGAGGAGGAAGAGGGTACTGAAGACCATAGCAAAAAAAAAAAAAAATTTTAAAATGTTATCAGCACTGGTTACAATGGGAGTTGAGAGCTTGAAAGACCTTCTCTTTCAGAAAACTGTATGGAGAAACAGTATCAGTTATAATTAACAGAGAATGCTGTCCTATATGAATCAAGTTTTCTGCCTAGAAAGAAGCAGATCTCAAGAACAGGTAGTGAAGAGGACAGGTTGGGGCTGAAAAGGGAAGGAAAGATTTCTACTTGATAGGGGAACAGAGTAAGGTTTAATATAATCTCTTCTGAGAACTTCAATCCCTCAATCCCGCATTTAGCCTTGTTGCCTGGGGCTTCTTTTCTACTACAGTTGTCCCCAGGCTGCCTCTCTGCAGTAAATTTTGTGGTTACTGGTTGAAAAGATTCAGTGGTACAGATTGATTTCCTACAAGTGAGGAGATGAGGGATTACCAAAAGCAGTCTTGGTTAACAAGATTGGGTGCAGAATCTCCTGCTAGAGCAGCCCACTCTGCCAGTGCTTTGCATCCTTTCACTATGACATATGGGTTTCATTACACAAAGATTTTCCTGATTTTAACTTTGAGGCGATTACGTTGGAAACTCAGAGCCATCTTTACATCTATAGCAATTTAAAGGTTAAGTAACTTTTTAATCAAATGACAAAGACTCATAATGTTTTTTCTTCAACTGAAAATGAAAACTGCTGTTCCGGATGTTCCTTCCGGTGACAATTTAATTAGAAAAAACACTGTATTGGAGCTTGGGGTCCAGTCTGATCGCTCCCCATAAAAAGCCTTCTCACACATATGACAATACAGGGCACACTGTGTCAAAGGCTGGATAGCCAGGAAATAACGGGCAGATTTACTACTATAAAACCAGTAACAAAAATAGTAACTTACATTTATGTAAGCAACTTGCATCCTGGAGGATCCCTAAGAAACACACATGTACACACATTCTTAACATAGTACACGCATAAGCACACAACCACGACACGCTTGGTGATAAAGTCCATACAAAAGATATGTGACAAACTGATATGTATCATACATTTATCAAGATCATTATACCTTACTCTGCTCACTAAACTTTGTTTTCTGGGCTTATTCTAAAAATCTCAAAACAAAGCCTGTGAGCATCTTCAAACCACAGATATTTTTAAATGAAGCACTGAAGAAGCACTTCTGTTTCTCCCTTAAATGTACCAGTCGGATGCAAATTTGACTGCACTCTTATAGCGTAACCTCTGACCTGAGAATGCAGCAGGACTGAAATCTAAAGTGCCTTTCTACTAAAAAGAACCGGAAATATAATTAATGCCCTATGAACAGAACATGTTTTTAGCCCTGAAACATCTTGCAATACCACACTTTGAATGCTACATTTTTGACTACAAAAAGGCTATTTACTGACTACCTAGTTCAGGTACACAGTCTGTTAGCTTATCTCTCAAAATCTTCTGCCCATTTAGTCTCTTACAGTTGTATTTATAGTAGATAAAGATTGATATTACTAAACAGCCACGGGGG